TGGTCCGAGGAAGGCCGTCGCTCCTCCCCTCCCGTCGACATCAAGCTTGGTGGGCTCAACATTGTCGGTTGATTAGTCGCTTGACGACGACATGGAGGTGGACAACTTCACTTCCTGGGACTCCGGGGGAGGAGGTTACGGAGGCGGAGCTGGAAAGTGCCGAGGCGAAACTGGAGACGATGAAGCTTCAATTCTCTTGGTTCATGGTTGCACAAGGGGAACGGGCGCCTGCAACCATTTAGACCTAGTTGGACGAGCTCCGCTTAGTTGATATAAATGTAATGAAATCTATCGTGTTTGATCGAATTTTGTTTGGTTAGTTTGAATTGTTGTCAAAATGCATACAACTAGCGTTGGATGTCGTCCTCACACACCCATGTTCACGGATGGGACAGGAAATTTGCGGTTGCCTTTGGAGATGCCCTTAGAGCAACTCCATTGGGGCGACCCATTTTGTCCGCCGCCGTCCATTTGGGTCGGCGCGGACACAAAAGGCGGCCCAACGCGCCGACCCAAACGGACGCGCATCCGCTTTTCGTCCGCGGGCGACCCATTCCCGGCCCATTTTTGAGCCGGATTTGCGTCTGCACGGGGATGCGACGGACGCGTGCACGCTCGCCTTCTTCTCTCCCCGGGCCCGCCGGTCGATGGCTCATTGGCCTCCCCCCTCACCCCCAGCCAACAGCAAGCCTCGCCCGCCTCCTTCGTCGTCGCCGCCGCCGCCATCCGAATGCTTGCATACGGAGTGCCCGGTGATCTCATTGACGAGTATGTCCGTATGAGTGAGTCTACATGCCTAGACCCTGTATAAGTACTACAAGGCTGTTATTGCTGTGTTTGGCCCTGAGTACTTGAGAGAGTCGACAGCTGAAGATACAGCCCGTTTGTTGGCGATGAATGCTAGAAGGGGCTTCCCAGGGATGCTTGGCAACATAGACTGCATGCACTAGGAGTGGAAGAACTGTCCTTCTGCTTGGCAAGGGCAGTATAAGGGACATGTCAGGGCTTGCACTGTCATACTAGAGACCGTGGCATCTCAAGATCTCTGGATCTGGCACTCTTTCTTTGACATGGCTGGATCACACAATGATATCAACGTGCTTCAGCGCTCGCCTGTGTTTACTAGGCTTGCCGAAGGCAACATCCCATCGGTGAACTTTACTGTCAACGGCCACAACTACGACAAAGGATACTACCTGGGTGACGGTATCTATCCTCAGTGGACCACTATTGTCAAGACAATACCTAAACCCTGTCGGAGAGAAAAAAAAAGATTTGCCCAAGAGCAAAAGAGTGCTAGAAAGGATGTCGAGCGTGCCTTTGGTGTTTTGCAATCTCGATGGGGCATCGTTCGGTATCCTGCTAATACCTAGAGCACGCAGAAACTATGGGAGGTGATGACTGCTTGTTTGATCATGCACAATATGATCGTAGAAGACGAGCGCCCGGAACGTCTGTACGATCAAGGGTTTTAGTTTCAGGGTGAGAATGTTGTGCCTGAGCATGGAGTAGTGGCAACATTTGAACAGTTCACCCAATTTCATGAAGACATGCGTGATTTGGAAGCTCACGTGCAGCTGTAAAATGATTTGGTTGAGCATATGTGGGCTCATGTTGGCAACCAATAGATATATCTTCTTTTATTCGTTTGCAAAACTATGTGAAACATTTTTATTTGTATCCGACTTGTAAAATTATACCATTTTATTCCGTAAAACTATGTTATTTGACAATATATTTGAATGCAAATCAATGTAATATTGGCCGGCCAGCCGGCCACGCTGGCACATATGGGTCGGCGCGTTGGACGCGTTGCTGATCCAAATCTAAAAGAGGGAGGACGCTGGGCGGGCGGCCGACCCAAAGGAACAAAATGCGGATGAAATCGTCGTCCGTTTGGGTCGGCCCGTTGGAGTTACTCTTAGGCCAACTCCACCGCGCGACCCTATCCTGTCCGCCCACGTCCGTTTGTGGTAAAACGGACAAACCAGACGGCCCAGCGCGCGGGCGCAAACGGACTTTTGTCCGCTTTGTGTCCACTTTTGACCCATCCCCGGCCCAAGTTTGCGCCGGTTTTGGGGTGAAACGGACAGCGCGCGGACGGGCGGGACGCGCGCTTGTCCTTGCCTGGCCCGCCTGTCGGTGGGAGAAACCAACCCCCCACGCCCCATTTGGCGCCGTTTCCCCAAACCCTCCCACGTCCCTCCCACCACCCCCTCTTTCCCCCGTCCATGGCCGACGCCCCGCCGAATTCCGACGGCCTCGCCGTCAACCCGCCCACAAAGATGAAGAAGAAGGCGGGCAAGGCGCCAAGGAAGCCGCGGTCGGAGTGCACGCCGGAGGAGATCGCCAAGTTGGACACGGAATCGGCGAAGAGGAGGGAATGGAGAGTGGTCGTCAAGGTCAATGCCGCCGCGGCCAAGTTCGCCACCCAGTGCAATGCGATGGAGGCCGCGCGGCGCAAGGCCGCGGTCAACGAGAAGGAGGACCTCGTCAACAAAGTGCACGCCCTCCTCATGCTTGGCATGGGCCGTCCGGCCGGGTTCCCTGCAGCGGCCGTCGTCCCGGCGAGCACAAGCTCGTCAGCCGCCCGGCCTCCACACTGCCAGTCGCCGACGTCACGGACCGCGCCCATGTCGCACGGCTTTCCTCTGCCAAGGCACGACGGCCAGACCCGTTTCTCGGGGTCGCCTGACGTGGGCTTGTTCGCGCCATCCACACCGTGCCCTGCGGCCGTCATCGATCTCAACGTCACGCCTGGGTCAAGCAGCGGCAGACGGCTGTCCGTCGAGATGCAAAAAATCAAGCACGGGCACCGTTCACGGGCACCATGCCGGCACCCCGCGTTTTGTTTGACGGAATGCCAACACCAACGCCAACGGTCGACGAACCCTTCTACAACCAGTACATGGAGGACATGATCTTCGAGGGTGGGCATGGCCGTGACTACGACCGCGAGTAGACCCAAAGTCAGGATGGCCGCGCCCAATACGTCCCCGATGAAGAGGCCGACGATCGTGCTGACTACGACCATGGTGACTCGTGGCATGAAGACGATGACATCTATGTCGAAGGTGATGGTGATGAAGAAGAAGGCAATGACGATGATATTAGTGGCGAGCCATTGTTCATCGACAAGCTCACCCAAAGAGCGGAAGCACAAAAGAAGAGGAAGAGCATTCACACGGGTTCATATACACAAGATGAGGACAAGTTGATTTGCCAAGATTGGATGGAGATTAGCCAAGATCTGAGGACCAGTGCGCAACAAAAGGGCATTGTTTTTTTGGACGAGAGTCCACAAAACATTTCATGAAAGAAAGATGTTTGAGCCCTACCAAATTACAAGCAACCGTGGCATCGGCTCGATTCAAAAGAGGTGGTTGTTCATCCAACAAGAGTACAACAAGTATTGTGCCGCATTTGAGAGCGTTGAAGCATGGCACGTGAGTGGTCTCGGCGTTGGGGACATGGTATGCTCTCCTCTTCCTAGCCCTTTCCTTGCTACGGCCATGAGACTTCAGCCGTGTATATGTTTGTATGTTCACTTGTTGTTGATCATGTCGTGTAGGCATTTCAATCTTTGGAGGCATTCAAGGCCCGGCACAATGACAAGCCATTCACTCTTACGCATTGTTGGACGATCATCAACAATTGCCCTAAGTTCAAGGACCAATACCGTGAACTACAAAGGAAGAGAGGACTGAAGACGACCAAATTCGCCGGAGGTGGAGATGGCGAGGCGTTGAAGAGGCCGAGGGGCAAGACCAACTCCAAGGTTGACGACATACGTGATGCCTCATCCATGGCATTGCATGACACTTTGCATGGCATGATGTCTCAAAAGGATGTGAGGGACGAGAAGAAGCGACAAAGGAAGGACGAGCAAATGAAGCAATACCTAGACCTTCAAAGAAAGAAGCTTGAGATGGAGGAGGCGGCCAAGAGGAGGAAGATCGACATGGAGGAGGCGGCCCGGCAAAGGCAGCTCGACATGGAGGAGGCGGCCCAGCAAAGGCAGCTCGACATCGAGACCGACAATGTCAAGGCCAGGCAGAGGCAGCTCGACATCAAGGCCACCAATGCCGCCACCAAAGCGAAGAAGGTGGCCCTTGCGATCATGAGCATGGACTTGTCGAAAATGAGCGGGAAGACGAGGGCCTGGTTCGAGGCCAGGCAGAAGGAGATGCTCGACGCCAAAGGCCTGAACTAGGTCGTCAGATCGGCCGTGGCCATTCTTTTTTGGAGGCTGGCATGGGTGCCGCCCGCCCGCTGGGCCGCTGTCAGTGTGCCGGCGAGAAAAACAATCATTTTGGAGGCTGGCTGTGTTGCCGACCGCTGGCTGTGTTGCCGGCGAGGACAAATATTTATTTTGGAGGCTGGTTGTGTTGCCGGCCGCTGGCTGATGCCGGCGATGGACGTGTAGGCCGTCGGCTTTGTTGCCGGCGTGATGAACTGGGCCGTTGGCCTGATGAACTAGGGCTTGGTATTTGAAAGTTGTTTCTTTTTTAAAAATAGACGCGGACAGGATAATGCAAACGGATGCGGCCGCGCGCTAAGGGCACGGCCACCACATCCCAGGACACGCCCGAACACGACCCCATTGCCCTACCCAAACATTTAAAATCCGAATAAAACAAACGTCGGCGCGATGGAGTTCACAAACCCGTGTAATTTCTGTTCTGTTCTGTACGATCCTCGAGGACCTTTCCTTCTTACCAGTTCGGTAATGTCATTTACAATTTGCACGGCTACGTCAGTAAATGTGTCAGTAATTCTATGTACTGTGTCCCTCCCATCCAACCTACCGGCAGTACTCCCGAGATCGCCTTTCTCAGCTTTGCCAGCCTACCAAGATGCCCCACCCGAGACCAAAAAGGAGAAGATGCCCCCACTCGGCTTGGCCTTTGCGGGACGAACAGCGAAGCGTGCCATCGACCTCTCCACCGGTTGGCCCGCCCCGCCCTCGTGTCCGATCGATCCGCCGATGGCAGCACCGATCATTGCTTGGATCGCCCGCCCGGCTGTTCCGCGCTCGCGCCTGTTGCCGCGTCGACACGGATGGTAGTTGTGCAGGCGGCGTCTCCTCTGGCGCACGCCTTCGTGCTCGAGCCGGCCCCCGCGGTTTTGGTGGCGAAGGTGAGGCCGAGGATGAGGAGCGCCGTGACGACGACCAGCGCGGCGGCGCCGCCGAACACGCCGTTCCTGGCGACGTAGCAGTCGCCGTCCATCCACCCCCGGCCGTAGCGCTGCCCGCTGTTCATGCTCGCCGCCGTCGCCAGCAGGATCACGGCCAGCGCGAAGCACACCCTGCACGCACGCACGCCACCGTCTCGTCAGCGATTTGGCTCGGCCAAACAGAATTCTCATGTGGTGCTTCGGCGCGTACATATTTATGTTGCCACCATGGTCGTATTACACCGTAAACTGCACGTACCATGAGAGGGCCAGGAGCGCGACGGGCGCGACGCGGCCTCCGGTGGCGACGGGCTTGCCGGGCTTGGAGCCGGAGGCGCACATGGTGGTCGCGGCCGCGGTGGTGCCGACGAGCTGCGCGACCGAGAGGAAGGCGATGGCCGCGACGCCCAATTCGAAGGCGGAGCTCTTGGGCAGGGAGCAGAGGCTGCCGTCCAGCTTCATGTCCTCGTCCTGATCGAGCAACCGACAGGCAGGCGATTCAGATCCGATCCGGGAACCGGGAGCCTCTCGCCAATTGCAATCGCAACACGAGGAGCGCGACAAAGAGAGCAGGAGCAGGAGGCTGACCTTGACCCTGCGGAACTCGGCGGCGAGGGAGCAGGAGAAGGCGGTGGCGCAGAGCAGGACGACGATGCCGCAGACGGCGGCCCGGCAGGACAGCCCTCTGCCCCCCTTCTCCATCACCACGGGACGAGCCCGAGCTCGAGCTGAAACCCGAGCTGCTCCGTACCCAATTCACGGCTACCTCGCTTTCCCTTCCGGGAATTCAGACGCAATGATCCGCGACATATATACTGGCGAATTACGCGACCAACGACCAATCAGGCACGGTTGGTGGCGGCGGGAGACGACGGAAGCAGGCAGAGGCGGAGGAGGGAGACCGGGTGCTCCGCTAAACAAACCGTTGAAAAACGCATGGATTCGTCCACCCGTATGGACCGCTGGCTAGGAAGGAATTGGCAGGAGAGGAGGCTCGGGTCCCATGCTGATGGGCGGACGAACTGACCCGGCGGCGAACGGTTTGGTCAAAACCGGATAACGGGGTTGCTTGCTTGGGGGAGGTGAGAGCTAGGAAAGCCGAAAGCCTGCACGGAACGAATCATACGCACACCCACGCACCGTAGTGGCGTCCTAGTCGGCCTACGAACACAGCCCACTTGCGGTTTTTTACATGCATGGGTGATAGCCAGTCGTGTCGTGATCACGCCACCCAAATGGCCGGGTAAAACACGAGCTACTTATTATGACCGCTGCTTGTGCGTGCGAAAGATCCAAAAGGCGAAAATCTAGAGAGAGACGCCGGGCACGGGAGGACAGGGTGCATGGTGCATTTGAGGCTGTGTTTGTATAGTGAGACTGAGTTGAGAAGGCTATGCAATGCAGCTGCAAGTTGTTTGGTTGTCTGCAAGGCCTCTTGCCCGATTGGGCTGAACCAAACTGCCTGGTGTTTGGTTGTTTGTATGTTAGTGAACAAGCCCAAGGCATAGTGTTTGGTTGTATGCAACGTCTGGTGTGTGGTAACCTTTTTGGCTAGTTGGTGAGGTTACCAGCACACTTCCGCACAACCATGTAGCACACATCATAAGCAGAGCAGAGCATAAACAGAGCATCAACTATTTAACAGCATAATTCAGATAAGCAGTACCACACTTCATAACAGTTCAACGCATAAATCATAAACAGTTCAAAGCAAACTCGATAGTACTTAGGAAGGAGGTGCCCCGGCCCTAGTCCTTGGCAGCGAAGCCTTCGTCGTGCTTCCGCACTTGTTGACGACCTCAATGCCATTGTCGTCGAAGATGATAACCTTGAGGGTGTCGGAAGTGAGGAGCTTGAAGGTCATCATGTAGCCGATCTTGATCTAATGAACGGCTGCGTGGGTGGCCCAACCCTGATCTAGGGTCACCATGCCGTTCATCAGCTTCACCGTCACCTTCCAGGAACAACCAGTGTTATCCTGAGCTTGAACTCCGTCGGCACCGCGACGAAGTGCTTGGTGAAGTCCAGGGGCATGGGATGCACTCAAGCTTCGGTGCAAGGATGACCTTGCAGAAGTGAGTTGGGCCATCCTCCTGATGGTAGTGGTCGTAGTTGTGGCGCTTGTTGCTGGGGGGCTCCTCCATGCCCTCGTCGTCACCAACCTCAGGCGTCTTCGGGTCTTCCTCGGCGGTGGGCGACAGCACAACCTCGTCGGACATTGGATGAAGGGGTTGCTTGCCCTTGTTGTCAACGGCCGGGAGCACCTCCGTGCCCATGTCATTGCTCTCTTCGATCTGCACACAATTCATGCAGTCAGGCACAACACAAAGTTCATGGCTTATTGAAGAGCATGTAGTTAAAACGGCATGACTGTCACTCTTCCTCCTCTCCAACGCGCCTATATTTACTCACCCTGCCCATCACTACTTACCCACCCCCTTTCTTCTCTCACTATCAAGTTTCCTCCTCTCCATCGCCATGAGCTCTAGCTCCAGCTCCAACGCCAACCCCTTCCCTTGGGGTATTGCCTGGAGGGTCTTCTTCCTCGGGTGGTCGGCTGGTGACCGCACCAAGTTCGAGAACACCATGAAGGTCTGCTCGAACTTCGGCTCCATGCCTGACATGCAGAAGGAATCTGATGCAGTGCTCATGAGGGCCACTGCACAAGAGCTGAAGACGCTGATTCCTGACCCAGCGAAGGTTGCGATGGCAGTCGACATCATTCGCTGGGCCATGAATCAGCCCGTCTCCGACGATGCAAAATAGAGGAAGAAGTGGTCCAAGTACAAGACCTACTCGGCTCCTAATGACCACCGTGCCGCAGTGTACTGGGAGACGGTTATCATGCCACAGGCGGTCATCGGTGGGGAGCCTAAGGAGGAGGAAGAACCAGTGCAGATGCCAGTGAGGGCGCCGGAGCCAGGCGATCGTACGTGGCAGATCGACCTCGACTCCTCCGACAGTGGCGACTGTTGGAAATATGCCCTAGAGGCAATAATAAAAGTATTATTATTATATTTCCTTGTTCATGATAATTGTCTTTTATTCATGCTATAATTGTATTATCCGGAAATCGTAATACACGTGTGAATACATAGACCACAATATGTCCCTAGTGAGCCTCTAGTTGACTAGCTCGTTGTGATCAACAGATAGTCATGGTTTCCTGACTATGGACATTGGATGTCGTTGATAACGGGATCACATCATTAGGAGAATGATGTGATGGACAAGACCCAATCCTAAGACTAGCACAAAAGATCGTGTAGTTCATTTGCTAGAGCTTTGCCAATGTCAAGTATCTCTTCCTTTGACCATGAGAGCGTGTAACTCCTAGATACCGTAGGAGTGCTTTGGGTGTATCAAACGTCACAACGTAACTGGGTGACTATAAAGGTGCACTACAGGTATCTCCGAAAGTATCTATTGTTTTATGCGGATCGAGACTGGGATTTGTCACTCCGTGTAAACGGAGAGGTATCTCTGGGCCCACTCGGTAGGACATCATCATATGCGCAATGTGACCAAGGAGTTGATCACGGGATGATGTGTTACGGAACGAGTAAAGTGACTTGCCGGTAACGAGATTGAACAAGGTATTGGATACCGACGATCGAATCTCGGGCAAGTAACATACCGCTAGACAAAGGGAATTGAATACGGGATTGATTAAGTCCTTGACATCGTGGTTCATCCGATGAGATCATCGTGGAACATGTGGGAGCCATCATGGGTATCCAGATCCCGCTGTTGGTTATTGACCGGAGAACGTCTCGGTCATGTCTACATGTCTCCCGAACCCGTAGGGTCTACACACTTAAGGTTCGATGACGCTAGGGTTATAAAGGAAGTTTGTATGTGGTTACCGAATGTTGTTCGGAGTCCCGGATGAGATCCCGGACGTCACGAGGAGTTCCGGAATGGTCCGGAGGTAAAGATTTATATATGGGAAGTCCTATTTTGGCCACCGGAAAATGTTCGGGATTTTTCGGTATTGTACCGGGAAGGTTCTAGAAGGTTCCGGAGTGGGGCCCACCTGCATGGGGGGACCCACATGGACGTGGGTAGTGGGGGCAAGGCCCCACACCCCTGGTCAAGGCGCACCAAGATCCCCCCCCCTTAGAAGGAATAAGATCATACCCCGAAGGGATAAGATCAAGATCCCTAAAAAGGGGGGATAACAATCGGTGGGGAAGGAAATAATGAGATTTCTTTCCTCCCACCTTGGCCAACGCCCCAATGGACTTGGAGGGCAAGAAACCAGCCCCTCCACCCCTATATATAGTGGGGAGGCGCATGGGAGCTATACACGAAGTTCTGGCACAGCCCTACCTCTCTTCCTACTCCTCCTCTCCCATGGTGCTTGGCGAAGCCCTGCTGGATTGCCACGCTCCTCCACCACCACCACGCAGTTGTGCTGTAGTTGGATGGAGTCTTCCTCAACCTCTCCCTCTCTCCTTGCTGGATCAAGGCGTGGGAGACGTCACCGGGCTGTACGTGTGTTGAACGCGGAGGTGCCGTCCGTTCGGCACTAGGATCATCGGTGATTTGAATCACGACGAGTACGACTCCATCAACCCCGTTAACTTGAACGCTTCCGCTTAGCGATCTACAAGGGTATGTAGATGCACTCTCTTTCTACTCGTTGCTGGTCTCTCCATAGATAGATCTTGGTGACACGTAGGAAAATTTTGAATTTCTGCTACGTTCCCCAACAGTGGCATCATGAGCCAGGTTTATTGCGTAGATTCTTTGCACGAGTAGAACACAAAGTAGTTGTGGGCGTTGATGTTGTTCAATATGCTTACCGTTACTAGTCCAATCTTGTTTCGACGGTATTGTGGGATGAAGCGGCCCGGACCAACCTTACACGTACTCTTACGTGAGACAGGTTCCACCGATTGACATGCACTTGGTGCATAAGGTGGCTAGTGGGTGCCAGTCTCTCCCACTTTAGTCGGAACGGATTCGATGAAAAGGGTCCTTATGAAGGGTAAATAGCAATTGGCATATCACGTTGTGGTTTTGCGTAGGTAAGAAAAGTTCTTGCTAGAAACCCATAGCAGCCACGTAAAACATGCAACAACAATTAGAGGACGTCTAACTTGTTTTTGCAGGGTATGCTTTGTGATGTGATATGGCCAACAAGAATGTGGTGAATAATATGTGATGTATGAGATTGATCATGTTCTTGTAATAGGATTCACGACTTGCATGTCGATGAGTATGACAACCGGCAGGAGCCATAGGAGTTGTCTTTATTTATTGTATGACCTGCGTGTCATTGAACAACGCCATGTAATTACTTTACTTTATTGCTAACCGGTAGCCATAGTAGTAGAAGTAATAGTTGGCGAGACAACTTCATGAAGACACGATGATGGAGATCATGATGATGGAGATCATGGTGTCATGCCGGTGACGATGATGATCACGGAGCCCCGAAGATGGAGATCAAAAGGAGCAAAATGATATTGGCCATATCATGTCACTATTTGATTGCATGTGATGTCTATCATGTTTATGCATCTTGTTTACTTGGGACGACGGTAGTAAATAAGATGATCCCTTACAAAATTTCAAGAAGTGTTCTCCCCTAACTGTGCACCGTTGCTACAGTTCGTCGCTTCTAAGCACCACGTGATGATCGGGTGTGATGGATTCTTACGTTCACATACAACGGGTGTAAGACAGTTTTACACAGCGAAAACACTTAGGGTTAACTTGACGAGCCTAGCATGTGCAGACATGGCCTCGGAACACGGAGACCGAAAGGTCGAGCATGAGTCGTATAGCAGATACGATCAACATGAAGATGTTCACCGATGATGACTAGTCCGTCTCACGTGATGATCGGACACGGCCTAGTTGACTCAGATCATGTAATCACTTAGATGACCAGAGGGATGTCTATCTGAGTGGGAGTTCATAAGATGAACTTAATTATCTTGAACATAGTCAAAAGACCTTTTGCAAATTATGTCGTAGCTCGCGCTTTAGTTCTACTGTTTTAGATATGTTCCTAGAGAAAATATAGTTGAAAGTTGATAGTAGCGATTATGCGATCAGTAGAAAGCTTATGTCCTTAATGCACCGCTCAGTGTGCTGAACCCCAACGTCGTTTGTCGATGTTGCGAACATCGGACATACACGTTTTGATAACTACGTGATAGTTCAATTAAATGGTTTAAGTAGAGGCACCAAAGACGTTTTCGAAACGTCGCGGAACATATGAGGTGTTTCGAGGGCTGAAATTGGGATTTCAGGCTCGTGCCCACGTCAAGAGGTATAAGACCTCCGACGATTTTCTTAGCCTGCAAACTAAGGGAGAAAAGCTCAATCGTTGAGCTTGTGCTCAGATTGTCTGAGCACAACAATCACTTGAATCGAGTGGGAGTTGATCCTCCAGATGATATAGTGATGTTTCCCCAAAGTAATTGCCACCAAGCTGCTAGAGCTTCGTGATTAACTATAACATATCAGGGATAGATATGATGATCCTTGAAATATTCATGATGTTTGACACCGCGAAAGTAGAAATCAAGAAGGAGCATCAATTGTTGATGGTTGGTGAAACCACTAGTTTCAAGAAGGGCAAGGGAACAAAGGGATACTTCATGAAACGACAATTCAGCTGCTGCTCTAGTGAAGAAACCCAAGGTTGAACCCAAACCCGAGACTAAGTGCTTCTGTAATAAGGGGAACAACCACTGGAGCAAATTACCCTAGATACTTGGTAGATGAGAAGGCTGGCAAGGTCGATAGAAGTATATTGGATATACATTATGTTAATGTGCACTTTACTAGTACTCCTAGTAGCACCAGGGTATTGGATACCGGTTCGGTTGCTAAGTGTTAGTAACTCAAAATAAAAGCTACGGAATAAATGGAGACTAGCTAAAGGTGAGCTGACGATATATGTTGGAAGTGTTTCCAAGGTTGATATGATCAAGCATCGCACGCTCCCTCTACCACCGAGATTGGTGTTTGCGTTGAGCATAGACATGATTGGATTATGTCTATCGCAATACGGTTATTCATTTAAGGAGAATAATGGTTACTCTATTTTTGAATAATACCTTCAATGGTCTTGCACCTAAAGGAATGGTTTATCGAATCTTGGTCGTAGTGATACACATTTTCATGCCAAAAGATATAAGATAGTAATGATAGTACCACTTACTTGTGGCACTGCCATGTAAGTCATAATGGTATAAAACGCATGAAGAAGCTCCATGTTGATGGATCTTTGGACTCACTCGTTTTTGAAAAGTTT